TGGAGACGTGCTCGCCAGACGGGGGTGTGAGTGTCTCCTAAGCTGTCCCTTCCCTTACTTTCCCCCTCGTGCAATCCCTCCCCCCCCGCCACCCCCCCCCGCAACAATTCACAATTCATCTATAATGACAACTGCACAGAGATGTCCACCATTGAACCACCACAAAATGCCATGGTGAGGGCCCCTGACTGCACAAGTTAACGCCATGCCTATGTCAAACTTCACCAACCAGACCAGAAAAGCTGGTGGGCCCCAGTGAGCCCAGCCCGGCAACAGTTCAGCTGTCCAGGGGGAACTAAAGTCTGTCACCTGGAAAATAGGTCAGGGAGCACCCCTCTTTAGTTGGGGCACATTTTATCTAGTGTCATCTGAGAACCATAGTTGCGGCGCACCTCTGTGCGCGGATTTGCGCACAAATTGCGCACCACGCGCAGCGCACCGCAGAGCGCACCGAAGCGCAGCGCACCGGAAAAATGACGTCCACAAAAAAAAGAAAGAGAGTAGGTGTTTTGTAAGTTCTTAGGGCCCCCAACTTGGCAAAAATGTTAAACTCACCGCGCGAGCTCAGATACCGGCCGCGCCCCAAGCTCGGAATTTTCTCTTGGGTAAGGGCTGCCAAATTTCGATTTCCGCAGGCCGTTCCCCCAAAAGTTTCAGAATGGCGAAGCATAAAATACTTCAAAAATAGGGCTCATTCCATCTTTTTTTTTAGGCGGGGTATGAAAGATATTCTTCCCGCTCCCTTCTGCGGATCCCACACAGTGGTGGGGTAAGCTCTTAAAAAGGGGCAGTCGCCTGATAACGACCTGCCCCGCGAATCTTCGCAGAGATCACAAGTTACGTTTTCTAGGGCCAGCCGACCACCAGAACATGCTGAAGATTGGCGTTCAGGTCTGCATGTCGGCAGTTATGGGTTAGGATGAAGACGCCCGTGGATCTCTCGTTTTCTTGTTTTTGTTTTCTTACGAGTACGTCCAGTGGGGCCTGCTCCACTACTCATCAAATGCACAAAAGACAGCATATGCCGGTGTATGGTTCCATGTTTTAGCAGAAGATTCATTCTACTAATATTATACAGTATATACATTTGGTGAGTGGTGGAGGGAGGCCCTGAGAATCACGTGGCGACACGAACAGGGTCTAGCTGAACTGGTGACCCATAACTGCCGAGCTACAGCCCTGAACTCGAATCCACAGCATATATTGGTGGTCTGCCCCCACGTCTTCGTGCATGACGAGGCCATCCTTCCCAGTAAAGCAGCGGCCCTCAATAGCTCCCCATGCGTTGTAGGAGCCATTCGTGGTACCTGCAGGGGCTCTCGAAATTGCCATAAAGGGGATCTCTCTCTCTCTCTCTCTCTCTCTCTCTCTCTCTCTCTCTCTCTCTCTCTCTCTTGGGCCGTCTTTTTTTTTTTTTTTTTATCGCCCACATAGCGCACCTCCCTCAGCGAGCGCACCGCGCACAGCGGACCGCACTGCGCACTGCGCGCAGCGCACGGCGCACAGTGCGCGCGCTGTCATTCGAGCGCACAGTGCAGTGCGCACCGCCCCGCACCGCACTGCGCACTTGTGCGCCGCAACTATGCTGAGAACCATCACGGCTCCTCCTTTCTAAACCTAGCTTGCAGGATTGTACGTCTGCCAGTGGTAGCCCATCATGGCTATCACTTCCTACTCATAGATCAATGCAGCATCATGTCATCGGAAAAAGACATGTACTCCGTTCGTAACATTTAACGCACACATATTCATCCTTCACCACAGGAGCAACCGAAGGGGGTGTGTGCAGCAAGATGAGATGATGGTCCAGGTACTTACAAAAGATCCACGCGCCATAGCGCAGTCCTTGAAAAGCGGGACATTGCAGCCTGCAGCCTCTGTTCTCTTCCGTTCACTTTGCGCCCTCTCTCTCTCTCTCTCTCTCTCTCTCTCTCTCTCTCTCTCTCTCTCTCTCT